TATCCAACTTCTCATTTAATATCTGCTGATTGTTTATATATCCACCTCAACTAGATATACTATCTTTTTGAGTTTCATCACTTTCCAAGCTAGGGAATTATGGTAAAATATGGTATCTCTGACGATGTCCGTCATGCGTCGGAAGAAAGCTCAATAAGGATTCATCAGGGTAACATGGCGGTGAGCCGAAGGCGTATTATCACATATCTACAGTCAGCTCCAAGGCGATCCTTCTTTAGCTCCGGGGATGCCGACTTACAATTCTCTTCCAATAGTTTCTTCAAAAAAAGCGAGGTATTCCAACAACAATCTATTAAGGGATTCTTAGAAACTCACTTCTTCCATATGCCTTATATAGAATGTAGCAGTGAATATGGTACACGAGTAGTTAGAGCAAATGAAAAGAAGCTTGTTTACGAATACTCTCTTAGTAATTTGTGACTCGAATTTTCGCTTTGAAAGATAAGTTGATTTGAATAGATTCGAGAATTGGTATCGCCGAAAACCGAAGTAGTGTTGCCTTGGAGTGGTTTGGTTGTGCTAATAAGTCCTACAGAAAGACTAAAATAAACCAAAATAAAAAGTGGCCAACTGCAAACACACTTATAACTATTTTTGCGATACTGATGAGGCATTCCATGCTTTGATTGGCTACTTCATGCTTACTCTACGTCCTTGCAGAGGGGTAAAATTAATTAATTAAGAGGAATCTGGTGTAGCGGCTTTTTTCTTACCTAACTAGGCCACTGTACGATACTCTAATGTTTATATATGAGATGTGCATTGGATGCATGCTATGCCTAAGTCATATGGGGTTTAAATTTACACCGGAAAGTCCAAAACTTCATTGGATGTTTCCTCTGAGGCGGTCCTATAGCAGGGCTTGAACTTTGCATTACCAAGTAGTTAGGGCTTCAAAGGGGAGATATTAGTATAATTGATAAGTTTAATTGATGGATTCAAGTTGGGCACTAAGAGTGAAAATGAGTTTCGGGTTGTTTCTTTAATTGATATCCATATAGCAGTTCAACATAATATTAGGAAAGTTAATGGTATTATAAGAAAACGTGAATGGTATGATAAGCTAGTATTGCGGGTAGAAAAATGAGTAACAGAGGTAGTAAGGGTACTGACAGGTTATGTGAAATAAATGTCGAAGGCGGGTAATCACGAAGCCCTAGAGTCCAGAGTGAAGGATTTCTTGCAACATTGTGTAAGCAGTGGATAAATGAAGATGTACAAAGCGAACACATTTCTCTGGCGATATATAAAAAGACTCAATAAATACACTAAACAAGAAAAGGGTGGCCTGCTGTTATACTAGCTTACTATATACTAACTTGTCATCATAATAATTAACTTAAATTTGCAATCTTAACGAGGCCTTTCATAGTTTGGCTTAATCCCGGATGCACTTGCCTGGACTTGTTCCGCTAAGAGTGCTGATGGAACCTGGGCTCTGTCCAAGCTGCAGTCCAATCCAGCCTGAACGAGAATCTCTTTTGAGAAGCAAGGCTATGTGAAACTTACTGGAAGCGTGAGACCTACTCATTTCAAAGTAGGAAAATTCAATTAGCATTCCTTCATCCTAAATTAAATAGGTCTAATACAGCTCTTATATGAAATAGAGTGGTCCAAGCTGCGGCGACTTAAACATCTAAGCGTAAAATTAGACAATGTATAGAAATATTAGAAATGAGAAGTATTTGGAGACAATTAGTAGATATTTAATAAGAGCCTTTTTCATCATTGCTGAGGGACAAGTAGTGAATTTTTCTACAATGAGATTAGTAGGTCTCACGATGCACCTGAATTTCACTTAGCCTTGCCTCCAAAATATATTCTTATTCGGGATGGACTGCAGTTTCGACCTCGCTTAGGTATCATCATTTTTAGCGGGAATCGAACCCTATAAATTATACGCTACACTACCCTTGTTTGATTCACTCTGCTGACCCATGTAAGGTCTAAAATGTAATTCACTCTGGATGAGATACCTCTTGGGAGAAAGGCTAAGTAAAATTCAATTGCATCATGAGGTCTAGTCATCTTGTTGTGAGGAAATTCAATCAGCCCTTCATCACCTTAAGTGGCTCTTAAAGTTCTATTGATAGTCTCAAAATCCTCTTTACTTTAAATATTGTTATATCTTGTCTACTTTTGCACTTAGGTGTTTAAATCCCTGTAGCCTAAGGAACCTTGTTTTTTAATTCATTATATTTAGTGGCCTTTAACTGCTCAGCCTGCTTAAATCTTCGGATCCATAGCCCTTTGCAAACGCTTTTGTGTTCAGGTAATATTTTATGTATAGGTCGGCGGTTCTCCATCGCATAGATATTACTACCTGAGCACAAAAATTCGTAGCATCATGATCTAAGAAGGTTCGAAAATTCTCGAAGTGAAGACATAACTAAGGACTTACTGTAACTTGATTATATCTAACTGACTGATCAGGAAGGTCTAGTAATGTGGAAAGAATCCTGAAGCTCAGCTTCTGGCTACAGATAAGACTGTAAGTATATCTTTGAATCTTTCAATATGACTGATTTAAAACTGCATGGCGGGGGGCGGTCAAGGCATCTACGTCCGACATACGGGGCACTGATTAGGAAGTAGGTCTACAAGCAATATAATGAGGAATTATACATCTTAAATTAATTCATCTGCCACTCATTCTACCAAACTTTTTAGTAAGCTTAATCATTATTAGTCACTTTGGACGAGCTACGCTATAAAATGGCTAATATCTACTCATCTACTTTATTTTCCACTAAAATACTCTTATTTTATTTAAAGGCGTTTGTTTCTTTCTTCAGATTTTGTTCCTTTTTATCATTGAACGTTTTCTACCTTGTATATATGTAAGATGCTGGTGCCACGCTCTCCGCCTCCTCTCTTGCTTCCGGCATTCAGGCGCCAATCACAACCATTCCCGCTGGCGTCTGCAATGTTGCTATTGGAGAAGCTGTAGCTGGAGTGGCGGCTTGTACCGCAGGGCTTGGAGTTGCTGGGCTAGGGCTCGGCCAAGTCCAAGGCCAATCTATTTCGATCGGCGACTCCGCTTGGAGGCAGAAGCCTCACCGGTCAGGCAGTGAACCAAAGCAGGCTCCGAAGCCTCGAGTGGTAAGTTCATAAAACGATTTACTTAATTCCTGTTTTGTTTTGTTCGATTTTTCTTCACATTCAAAACTCGGCATTAAAATCAATAAATTATTTTATTTCTGTACAACGCTTATGCGCATCTATCGAGAAAAAGTAACGGCTTCGAGAAGTCAATTATGGTCAAATTTTCTGTTTTAATTAGTTGAGGATGTTTGAAGTAATTCATATAGCAAATTCGTTGAAAGCCGATTTCAATTTACCTTTAAATGCTTATGTGGATGTTTCTCTTTGGTATATCATTATGGTGACTTATATCTGCTTTCTATCACTATAACTATTAGTTTCGTTATTTGGCATACGCAGGTATCTCCCAACATTCATTTTACACATAAACTACGTAAATATCACTCAGCCGCATCCCTTGTTCACGTCTCACTAATCAAGTCTGTATCGAGCCCACCATTATTCCTATTAAATTGGGACCTTTCTAACCAATTAAATGCTTAAATTCAAATCATTCTACTCTTAAGCAGGAATAGCTCCGAAATTCTCCACGAGTCACTCTTTCTTGAGGCGATAAGCCTTGGCATGCCACCGTGGCACGTCACATCTGCTTTCCGCCATCTTTCGCCATGCTTGTTTCTACATCACTAGCTTGTCTTAAGTTCCGCCCGTAGAAAGTCCTGACTTATTTCTCATCTACAACCTGCGACAGTGTCATGTCGCCATCCGGATCAGCCTATATTCTCCGCGTAGGGAGGATCGCGATCAGCCAGTTTCTCCGTCACTGGAACACTCTTTCTACGACCATTTCGTTGCCTCTGCATCTACTGGACTACACTTGGTCCGTAGAAGCAATGCAACTTTGCTTCGGGGCCTCTATAGTATTCCACTCATTTATGTCTCAACAGTGTCCGTATTTCAAGCAAGCTTTTTTGGTTGCTCTGCTCCAGATCTCCTTTATATACTTATTTGCCTTCATCACGAACACAACAATTTGCTTGTATGCCTTCTGGTATCTACAAATTTTACACAACATTCCTAAAACCTTTCTCTTTATCAGGTCTCAGGACACTTCTCAGAGTATAACGGCAAATCCGAATGGATTATTTCGAACCACTGTCATCTGCTTACCCTGCTAAATCTGCGTTGAGTATTTGACTGTCATGTGAGGAGCATATTATAAGCTTTCATATTGGGACTAGTTTTATTATCCCAATCTACTTCGCATTAACCTGGTTACTGACAGGGCATATCGTAATTCGGTTAGCTACTATCGCTTCATTTACCATCTCTTGCTTTAACGACCAATATTATAAGGATTTTGTCAGGATAGCCACTTTCTTCTGATCATCTATATTAAATTTTGGGTATTCTCCAGTTGCGA